ATCGGTCGATTTTACAAACATGAAAAATCGGCCGACATGGACGATATTTCGCCGATATATCCGATATCTCCCTGAAAAATGACATGCGACTTAAAATCCACCGATTCGTGTCGCTCGACCCCTCAATCCGGACATGTCGGTCGATATTCAAAACACCGGGTATATGAGTCTAAACTATTACCTAATTTTAACAGGAAGTTCCTGAAAGAATATCGTATGTGATATTCTTAAGGATAACTCAACCATTCAGCTGAATACAAAGTATTCCTCATTAGACCCAGTTTCGTAAGAAAAGCTGGGGATGGATAATCCATGTAACGGGAAGTCCCTGGAGAGTGTCATGTCTGGTATTCTTAAGGATAACCCGGTCACTATAAATGGGGATAAATGAGAAACTTCCACTCGGACTCTGAATGTTTTCAAGGATGAAACGCATCTCATTGTCGGGATCAATTTCACCAACTTCCAAGCACTCTTTTGTTGAGATGAGATTTGATCACTTCGTTGGATTAATTTTTTCTCACAAAAAACTCTCACTGGTATTTGACGATTTATAATCTTCCACCACAAAGTCCCTCACTGATCAAATTAATTGACAGTGAGTCCACTAAAATTTTTTCTGGTTTAATCCATTCAAACTCACATTATGTCTGTGCACTCAACACTCTCATTGTTAGAGTCCGGACATAATGCTTGGAATTTTAATCTGTGAATCATCGACAATTATCAAACACTTTCGTGTTAAGTCTTTATCACTTGACACTAAAAACCTCACTGAGTGATCGGTACAAGTCAACACTCCCAATGTGATTTGTACTCTCACTCCCACTCCCACCTGGTCAAACATGCCTTCAGTTAGGACCATAACTAAAATCTCCTCTCGATTCCTTCCATGAACGAGAGGTCCACTTTCAAATCGAGTGATTAAACCTTTTACAGTTAGGGTCGTCTCAAACCTCTCACTTGATCAAATCTTCCTACAGTTAGGACCACAACCAAAATCTCCTCTCGATTCCTTTCATGAACGAGAGGTCCACTTTCAAATCGAGCGATCAAACCTTCCTACAGTTAAGATCGTTTCAAACCTCCCACTCGGTCAAACCTTCCTACAGTTAGGACCAAAACCAAAATCTCCTCTCGATTCCTTCCATGAACGAAAGGTCTATTTTCAAATCGAGTGATTAAATCTTCCTACAGTTAAGGTCGCCTCGAACTCCCACTTGGTCAAACCTTCTTACAGTTAGGGTCAGAACCGTAATTCACTCTCGATAGACGAGAAACTCACATTTAGCTCGGTAATCAAACATTCCGACAGCTAGGATTATCTGAATCTTTTCGATTCTCGGAGTGAAGATCTCACTCTTAGGTTCACCTTCCCGGATTCTTGAAGTGAAGATCTCACTTTGAGTTTTCTTTGTAACTAGAGATAGAATATAAAATTCTTTCTCTTCAGTTTTAGGAGATAGAATATAAAATTCTTCCTCTCCCACATCGGGTTTATTCTTACCCTAAAAAAAGATCAGGAGATAGAATATAAAATTCTTCCTCTCCAGCATTGGGTTCGTCTTTGCCCCAAGAGAAAACACCATCTTTTAACTACAAAATCCGTGCTTCACACGCATGGAGAATTTTACCCCGAATTCTAAGTAGGGATAAGTCAACGCCTAACACGCGTTGCCGGTTTAGTCTTTCACCAAGTGAAGAAGACACCAGAATCCAAGTCTGGGGAATTTTATCTCGAAACCTAAGTAGGGATAAGACAATGCCTAACACGTGTTGTCAGTTTAATCTTTCACCGAGTGAAGAAAACACCAGAATTCAAGTCTGGTGAAGTTTATCCCGAAGCCTAAATAGGGATAAGTCAGCGCCTAACACGCGTTGTCGGTCAGTCTTAGACCTTAAAAAAGGATAAAAACCCACATATTTAACATTTTACAGGTTGTTATTAATAACACCATAATCCGTACCTCACACGTACGGGGATTTTTATCCCAAATCATAAGAAGGAATAAGTCAGCGCCTAATACGCGTTGTCGGGTAGTCTATTCCCATAAGAAAGACGAAATCTGCGTATTCAATATCGTAGCACTAAAAGAGTTAACTATTTTAGCACAACGTTACATGCAGAACGAACTTAAACAATCTGCATGCTAGCCCGACTCAAACGGTAGTCGGTAAAGGCTCATCAAACATGTTGATGGCTGAGAGTTTGCCAAAAATCCTATAAGTATGAGTCGTTGACGCACCAACTCCATTAGTTGATCTCGTGACTTGAGGATCCAACAACTTCAGGATAAAATCCATACATGCAGATGAATCAGCTTTAACAGTTGATCCTACAGCCCCAACATTTGGGATCGCCACGCTCCAATGCCTTAAGAATTTAAACTGTGTATACTCCAATAGGTATACGAGTCTAAACTGTATCCTGCCTTCGACGGGAAGTTCCTGGAGAATAGCGTACGGTATATTCTTAAGGATAAGTCGCAGGCCCCAATAGGTATATGAGTTTAAACCAATTCATGAAGCTCCAAGGGGAATGCAAGCGCAAATTGACCCACCGTGTTTCAACACGTGACAAAAAAATTCAACTTCAGCCGATGCCAATCGACACGAATCAACGTCGTCCAAATATGCAACGACGAGAGTTCAACGCCAATCAGTGCGTCCACAGCCTCATCAAGGCAAGGCTCAAGATAGATTCAACAACACGAGCCAATTCAGATATCAACACGCTGGTCCAAACCCGAAATTTCGGCAACGGTCAGACGATAAACGCAGAATCAGAGGAATTTTAGCTATTCAACAAAAAACTAAATAGACTAAAAGCTGAAGAAATCAAAGGACTAAAGACTAAGCGTATCATATCCAAAGTATCTCAGCCTCTTTTATAAAAGAAACGAGACTGAAACACTTTGGAGGGGGTATCTGTAGGCATTAAAAACCACCTATAGGTCAAGAATACAAGTCAAGATGACATGGCAACGAATCGTCGACACAACAAAGTGGCGAAACGTTGAGAACAAGACAATGAGCTCACGCGCTCATCGGCCAGATCCAAGTGGCCAACACACTCACCGACCACCTCCAAGTTAACGAAACGCATGAAGCTAATCGCGGAAGCACGAGTCAACAAAGCGACGAAACGTACGTAAAGGCAAAACAAGCGCAAAACAAGCGAACTGAAGGAGCTACAAACAGCCAAAACGTCAAAAAGACGAACGAAACAGGTCAGGAGGCTCGCGTGAGTGCGAGCCACCAAATGATGGCTCGCACAGTTCCGAGCCACCACGGACACTGCCGACTCCCAAAACTCCTCAAAACGTGGATTTCGATGTTTTGTTAGAATTCTTTCATCTCAGGATCACCCCAACTATTCTGAAGCTATCCTTAAGTGCGTCTGGACGGTTATCAACTGCAGATGACGTCAAAACACTTGATCTTATCAGAAAACGTGGCGATAAAAGCCTATAAATAGAAACTCAGGGTATTCATTTGAGAGGATCTGAAATCAGAGGGCGAGGTGCTGTCAATTTGAACAGTAGACCACGGATTTTAAAGGAGAGTTGGCAGATCTTGGCGAACTTCATCATAAAGAGGAAACCTTTGAAAAATCTGACTCTTTTTCCTTTTTCTCCTCCGGATCAAACTTGGTTTTGATCTCGAGAAGAGACACAATCTCGCTTGGTCGTAATTATCGCTTCTGCAATTGTTTTCTTCGTGAAACAAGAGCATCAATTAACTCTTGTCTACCGAATCAAGTCTGCGGCAGTCCACAAACTAACGCATCTCTGGCACAGGCGAAAGATCTCACGCAAGCAGCAAGAGATAAACTACTGTTGCGTATTGTTTGATAAAGTTGTAATTTTTACCTTTTTATTGTGTAAGAAGATCTTATAAAAAGATCAACTTTTTTTTCAAATTGAACTTATAATCGATAAACGGTGTAACAGGTTTAATAACAATAAAAACAGCAACTTTTGACACAAATAGAGCGCACTTATCAACAATGGTCAATACTATTTCCAGCACCAGTATCATCCCGACATTGCCAAACCACCCCAACGCCACTGCCCCGTACCATAACCGCTAACATCATGAATCACCCTATCTAAGTACGACCACACCCTTCGTTTTTATTTGTGCACAATCACCATAGCTATCGCTATAACTGCCACCACACTGTCACTTCAATACCACTACCACTGGCAGTTTCCTCAATCACCATAGCATACAAGGCTAGTTTTCGGATAAATGTTTGGAAGGTCAAATACCTAGAAATACTTTCAACCACTGTTTTAAATATCGGCCGATAATCGATATTATCGGCCGAGTTATCGGATTTGGGACCTCTCTGCTAGGATAAATTGGATTTTTAATCGGTTATCGTTTTTCTAGGTTTATCGGCGATTTATCGGCGTTATCGGCACTTATCGGCCGATAAGTAAGACTTTTTTATCGGGATTATCGGCCAATTTGGACTAACATTATATTTTTTCAAGGCTATGATGCAAGTTTCGCTTTCTACAGTTAGTTAATGATTCTAAACATGATGATTTACATTTTGGTATGTTTATATTTCATTAAGCATGATTAGATTATATTTTTTAATTGTTATATTATATATACACATCATTTAGTATATCACTCCGATAAATACTACTTATCCCCGATATATCCCCGATTTCCGCTATCCGATAAGAATTTTGGCCGTCCGATAAATCCCCGATAACCGATATTTAAAACCTTGCTTTCAACATACGAAACACAAAATAAGGAAGTATTATGTTAATTTCAAGCAAAACACATATGACTTAACATCATGACACCATTTTTATTTCCATCAGCTCTCGAAGTTGACATGACGAATTATGAGAAGTATCCGGAGCTTAGAAGTGAGAATCACTAGTTCAAGTAAGTAACAGCAGCTGCTTCACATAATTGCATAACTTAGCAAGAGAACTTTCCATTGCATCACAGGATTAAAAGGGCAAAATTACCTTTCCATCAAGCTTTTCCTTTTCCTGTAAGATCTCCATCTGCAATTTTATGAACAATAAGAATTAAAACAAAACAAGCAACTAAGTATTAATAGCTAGAAAGGGTACAACTATAGTTTACGCTAAAAAGGAGAGGTAAAGGCAACCTTGATATCTTCTGATATGTTTTCCGAAAGTGTTTGTACTCTCAGATACAAGGGATGAAGTGCAAACACAGAGAGAGAGCTGCCAATTCAAGAAGCTATAGGTGTTATATACGAAAGGCAGCAACCAGCTTCTTTGGTTAAAGCATGTGGAGTATTTCTACAAACAATGCCAACAAAATAAATAATCCAAGCTTCATAGCAAAGAAACCAAGTACCTATATGGATATGAATCCCACCACATCTTATGAACTGAAGTATCATTGACAGGTAAAAGTTGAACGAGATGAAAACCTGACTTCACCGCCCAGTCAACCAACAACTTAAGATCAAGAAATTCTCCTACTCCAAGGTCATCATTAGACCTAATGGAGAACATTGGTATAGCAACACCAGCACCCCTCCAAGGCATTTCCTGTCAATAGGAGAGGATGACAAATGTCTATAAGATATATTTGCTCGATTAATATTACATGGAGTAATAATGCTGAAAAAATATGCTAAACATATAATTGAAGAGACCTAATTTATACTCTGTACTTTACCCGGAAGGGACCATCCGACAGGGAAACATAAGTTGGTAGATTATTCGACGCCAAATCTAGGACTAGCTCCCGACTGGGACCGATTTCCATTGACATGCCTTGATCTTTACAATTTTTACAATACTTGTATGTGCGCAATTATTAAGGATAATACAGGTCATAGATAGAGCAGAAAGCAAAAGAGAAAATTAATAAAAGTCATTAAAATGAAATGATCTTGCTAATCAAAATGTAATACAGAAAAGGATATTTTATCGGAAACTCTTTTTTTCGCACTAGGCAATCAGCTTGCCAAATAGAGTCACCAGCATATGTAAGTTCTAGTGCATCTTGAGGCCTCCATTGGCCTAATGGAGATGCAGCGCCTATCACAGCAACCTGCATAATTGTTAGTTGTTACAATGAATCTGCAAGGAGCTTAAGAAAATGTTATATATCTGAATGGGATTTAAGTATGAAATGCTGCATACAAAATACTAATTGGAGTATGAAGGTCTACTGAGGAATGATGAAAAATGAAAGGAACTTACAGATGTTCCTCGTTTGATCATGGGGCAACTAATCTTGAACTGGATGACAATATAATCTATTTATAGAACAAAGAAAAAAATTCAGCAAGAGAAATATTTGAAATATATGCTAGCTAAAGAATTCAAAATTCATTGTTTTCCTTGAAAATCCCAATAAAGATACCTTCCCTGTCCATGTCCCTCTGAGAAAAAGTAGAAGAAATTTCTGGTTCAAAGTTCTGACCATCACTAAAAATGACATTTGTGAATGCACTTCGGAGGAAAAGTGTTTCTGAAGCAGTCTGATCCATATTGTGCATAAACATGGAGTTAGAAGTTAAGAAATGATTGAGAAGGAGATAGCACAAATTATAATGACACAATAATGAGGTCAATATTAGATGAAGCAAATGAAACAAACATTGGAAATATTCCCAGAAGTAAGACATAATATATTTTGGTGTATATGCTTACAGGTTTCTAACATAGTAACATGGCATCAGGGTAACAGTTCTCACGACTTCCTGAGTTCAATCCTTATCATTAAGATTTTAATATCTTTATTTATCCCCACTTAGCTGTCTTTCCAAGTGAAGTTCAAAGTTCAACATAGCCGAAAGGCCCTCATGATAGAGAGTGTCAAAAATTATGTAGCTTTATATGCATTGTTAGCAATCCATCTAACTGGACCTCAAAAGTATTTCCCTTCAGCAAAAGTTCATACAGATGATCTTGTCTCAGATTAAAAAAAAAAAAGATTATACACAAGGATCAATTATTGGTCATAAGAATATTCCACGCAAAAGAACACATAAATTTTAGAAAAGAATTGATACCTGCCAGAGATCACGAATTTCCACTACATCTCCTTCCTTGACTCCTGCAGGAAGAATTAGCTTCCTTTTCTTTCCAGCTTCCCATCTCAAAACATTTCTATCATCATCAACCAAATAATAACTATATTCGCATTCAAACCCAATTGCTACAGTGATCTTCCCACACCAAATGAGCTCATCTCCTTGGTGAAATGGAGTCAAAAACAAACCCTGTTTCACATTGCTTGATCCAAGAATTGGGTGGTTGCCCGAAATGAGCAGGCTCTGACCCCACTGAGTAAAATAGGGTAATTTGAAGGTCACGGTCACAGTCGATAGCTTCTTCCCAGAAATTAACCCTAAAGTTACCATTTCTTCCTAGTTGCTTCAAATCCAAGATGATACCTGTTACAAGATATCAAAGAAAGGAAAAAGATACATTTTATCAAAATTCTTTATCCAAATTCCTAGAGTCAATGATTCTCCAAAATGACGCATTGAATTGCAATACAACAATCACTTACTATTTCTATCCAAAAAAACAATCACTTACTATAATCCCTCAATCTCAAATAATCCAATTGAAAATCAATGGAATTCAAGTGAAAGACAGTATAAAATAGCTCAATAGAGTGGCAAATGAAATTTCTGAACTAGGTAAAATATTTTCAAAACATAAATTTTCACTGAAAAACGGCATAAAACCCAATCGAAATTCACTACTAAATCAAGTATAGATCTTTGGTATTGCTCTCATTGACATTTTACCAAACAGTCAAGCTCCAGCTAACAAGAAAATTCCCAATCATGAAAATTTCCGTACATTAAAATGCACATTAAAACAATATCCAACTTCAAGATCAAGCTTTGGATTAAGATACAACTAAACAATTTCGAGCTAGAGACATGCTGAAGAAGAGAAAACTTACAGAAGGCAGATCAAATTTTTTCAGTTCTTGAAGATAGAAGAAGACCCAAATGAAATCTACAGGAAATAAATAGTATAATAACAACAAATTTAGCGTTTGATTTTTGTGTGGACGCAGATCAAGTGAGATTTTTGAGATGATTGAGAAAATTTTGGACGGTTGGGCTTTTTTTTTTTACTTTTCCTTTTTGGGTTCAATTAAGAGTATCGTAGCATCCGCTGGAAGTATTCCAGTATAATTAGGGCTAAATATCACTTAAATATCTTATAGTTTCACTCATTTTGCATTTATTTAATTTCACTAGTTTTTCACTGCATTTATATATTTCAAGTTGTTTAAACTTGACATTTTGCTATCTTCTATTATGTAGATAGGAAAATTTTCGCCCAGATAATGTTCTCATACTTGTATTTGGAATCAATTAGTATCTATGAATATTATATGGGATGTTCCGATTGAAACTTTTCACATCTACGTAACTGAGCATAACAACATGGGAAAATTGCTTCAAGACCCCAAAAATAGAGTTTTCAAGTGGCCCAACTCCATGTACTTTTAGCTCATATGCCAAACCCCTTAAAATTCAAAAAAAATATGACCGAGCCCCAAGTTACCTTCTCTCACCCGTATTTATACCCAAAGACCCAAAAATACTCTTGACTTTCTTATCTCCTCATAACCCACTCTTCTTTGCTTCGAGTTCATTTATGGTGTAAAGGGCACATTTATGAACTTATGGCTTTTGATCTTCAACAATCACTTGTCCTAACGTTCCCTTCATAAATCCTCTTAAATCCGCTTTATTTGTGGCAGATAAACCCCTGATTTGCATGGTGTCCTTGGGTGAGAAAGCAGTGTTCTCAAGGGTAACGTGTGCAACCTCTTTTTTTTGAGTTCAAGTTTAACGTGGCTGAGAGGTTAAAGGTTCCATATGACATGTTAAGTCTGGTGTATAAATCTGAAAGGATCACTGATCTGATTTTTGAGATTGAGAACGAGGATGATATGAAGTGTATGGTGGAGCTCAACTGTAATATCGGGTGTCTGGAGATCCATATCCGAGCTACTATAGATGTAGATGTTTCCAAATGTCAGAACACTCAAAAGGAATCTCCTGAAATGTAAGTTATCTTTAAATTTTTGAAAAGTTGTGAATTGTGTGAGTAAAATGTAGAGAAATGAGTAGTATAGCGAATTGTTTCAAGTTAAATATTAGCTGTTAAATGTCATATGTTAACTGTCATCACACGGTTGTTAAGATTTACAGTATATGTGTTAACTTTTGAAGATGTAGAATTTAACTACAAGTCGTGATCATTATTTTAGAAAAAATATTTATATTTGTGCAGCATTATGAATACATTGAAGCCACAGTTTATTGATAGCACTTCTGCCGCAAATCATAATTCAGAAAGAATTCTCGTGCCTTCCAAGTCCTAGAAAGAATTGAAGATGTGTGGTGAACAAGTCGAACGCTTTTTCAAGAAGAAGAAGCTTGTAAGGGGTCAGCCGGTAGCCAATTCTCATAAGCAAAATTTTAATCCTCAAGGCAGAGGAAAGGGTCTTGCAACTGTTATTGATGCTCACTAAACATCACAACGACAACCGCAACAGCAGTCAACGTAGCAGTCATCATTTCAATTACAGCATCAAGCACAGCAACTTCCAAAGCAACTAAAGACTTGAAAACCTAGATTTCCGAAAAAGTATTCTTTCAAAGAGGATAAAGTGTCGGCTATCTTCAAGTATCTCTTGGACAACAACAAGATCAAGCTGCCATCAATCACAAATGAAGAGGAAGCTAGGAAAACCTCAGATCCGAAGTATTGCACTTATCATAGAAGATTTCACCATCCTACTAAGGCTTGTTATGTTCTCAAAGATCAAATTCAAGCCTTGATCGATGCTGGCATCATAACTGCGAAGCACAAGGAAAAGAAAGTGGGTGTGAATGCAGTGTCCATCAGTTTCGGCTTCGTCCCTCTATCGTGGTTCCAACCAGAGCTCGTGTCGAAAGTAGAGATGAAGGTAGTGAATAATGATCCTCGTGGACAACACCAGAAGGGACTCGTACCACACACCATATCTAACAGTGAAGTTCTTTGGGTCCATCCAGATCTACTTGGAGATGAACAGTGGGCAGGATCCTCTTCTAAAAAGAAGGCTAAGAACAAAGACAAATCTTTCCTGCTACTGCAATCCCTAAGAAAGATGACGAAAGTGTCCCTACTTTTCCACATTCTGAAGAGGAACATGAAGTCTTTGCTACTAGGAGTGAGAATGAATATTGGTACAAGTATCCTGAAACTTTTGATCCAAATACCAAAACGTTGGCTGAACTGGGGGTGGTTACAACTCCACCTATACTTTCTCAGAAACCCCAGCAGCAGCCAATTGCCAAACAAAAGGAGAAAGAGTCTCAACACAAAGAGATTCAAGTTCCGAAGCAGTCTCGTTTCAATAAACCGATTAGAAGAGATAAACTGGAAAGTTTGAATACCCCATACCGCTTCGATGTCATGGCTCAGTTGGCCAATATCCCAGTGAGGATCACTTTATATGAGCTGCTACGCCTCTCAAAAGATACCATGGAAGCTTTACAGGAAGCCTTGGACGATTTTGATGTATTTCTCACTCAGATTAAGCCAACCCCTGAGGAGCCAGAGTTATCAGTTCAACACTATAACCTCGCGACCACACAATTCCCTTGCGTTATTTTTACCAAGGAGGATATGCAAGTGAGGAATTCAAAACATGATAGATCTTTGTATTTCACCAGATACATTGGCTCCAGTGTGATCAACTGGATCCAAGTCGACCCGGGTTCCGCTGTTAGCATCATGCCACTCCGATTGATGTATCATCTCGAGATTCCTACCAGCAATTTGGCTTCCACAGGCACTATAATCTATAGATTCAATACCAGTGGATCTAGATCGCTAGAAAAAATCCGAGTGAAATGTCAGCTTTGAGATCTGAAGTCTGAGGTCACATGTTATGTGATTGATGCAGAAATTTCTTACAACTTATTATTAGATCGACCTTGGATCCATAACAATGTTCTAATTCCTTCCACCCTCCATTAGTGTCTAAAATATGTTGACACTAATAATGAGGTCAAGACGGTGGTCGCGAATAAGCAACAGTTTAAGAGGTTGGAAAATTATTTTATTGATTCTCTTCTTTACGATACTGAATCTGATACTAAACCATCGGCCCAAGGCACGGACAACGGAGAAGAAGCTGATACCGAAACCGGGCTCGATTACGATGAAGGTCTTGTATTCAATAACATTGAACCTCTTATAATCGATCTTAATGGTGATGAATCGTCAGACGAAAGTTATAACTGGCAACTTGCCGATCATACAATAAATGACGATTTAGAGTAATCGCTTTGTCTTACTAATGTCATGCAGGAACTATATGATAACCCTGGCATACATATGCCGCTTCAATCGTCTTGCATGACAAAAAAGTGTATCCAAGACTCCTTCAGAACAACCCTCGTCCTACCTGCAAAGGCAGAGGGTGGAAAAGAAATAATTTTTGGTAAATGGGATTCATACCCACCCTCCGATCTCTTCTTGGAAATCAATACCGATGATGAAGGACCTAGACGACATCTCTTCAGATATAGCTCACAAAGCACGTGACTATATGAAGAAGCAATGATACAACCTCACGCTCGGTGAAGGTCTTCGTTTTGGTCAAGATATCCGAGTTCCACCCCGTCCTGCCTATGTACCAAGAGGGAAGCCAGAAAATTATTATGAACATAAGAGGGGCCTAGGCTAGGTCACTTCATCCGATGACGAATGTTGTTGGCAAGTCATCAATCAGTCATCTAATCCGAGTAGAGATGGATATTTGTTAGATTCTACAGATTGGGATTTCGACATCAGCCTTAGAGAAATATTCAGAGGCCTAATGTCGAACATGGCTACGATTGATCCTACCACAACGGAGGAAGATGACCAAATGCCAACTTGGGAAGACCCTTGGATCCATCACTTGAATATACAATATGGTGATCAATTCGAGCAAAGGGAACCTCCAACCGAAGATAAAGTAGTCCAAGTGAACATGGGCGACGAGGTCAATCCGAAACCCATATTCATCAGCAAAAGTCTTCCATTAGATGAGAAAGAAGATTTGATTGCCCTCATTAGGGAATATATCAACGTTTTTGCCTGGAATTATGAGGACATACCAGGACTTGACCCAAATGTAGCGACGCACCACCTCAACATCAAACCGGATGTCAAACCTATCAAGCAACAGCAGAGACGGTTTCATCTGTAGATCATGAAGGTAATTGAGGCAGAAGTCAAAAAAATTAATCGATTCTGGCTTCATCAGAAAAGAACAACATCCCGATTGGTTTGCGAATATTGTCCATGTCCTTAAAAAGAATGGGAAAAATCAGGATCTGCATCGACTTCAGAGACCTGAACACCACTTTCCCAAAAGATGATTTCCCTCTTTCGATCACGGATGTCATCATTGACAACACGTGCAGATTCGAGAGAATGTCCATTATGGATGGATTTTCATATTACAATTAAATCAAGATGTACCCGGACGATGAAAAGCATACCGCATTCAGAATACCGCTTGACATCTTCTGTTACACAATTATGACATTCGGCTTGAAGAACGCAGGCGCTACATACCAACGGGCAATGACTAAAATCTTCTAGGAACATCTCCGGAAGACCATCGAATGTTATGTTGATCATTTGGTCATTAAAAGCTGTAATAAAGAAGACCATATTAAAGACTTGAGGACGGTGTTCGATCTCATGCGGAGTCACCAATTGAAGATGAACCCTACCAAATCCCTCCTGGGAATGTCCAGCAGTAAGTTCCTTAGATTTGTCATCACCATAAAAGGTATCCATATTGATCCCGATAAAGTGAAGGCAATACACGAACTGCAACCCTCAAAGAACCTCAAAGAACTCAGGGGATTGCAAGGACGATTGGCTTACATTCGTCAGTTCATCTCGAACCTCTCCAGAAAATGCCAACCGTTCTCCAAGCTCGTAAAGAAGGGTGTATCATTTATTTAGGGTGATGCCTATCAAAAAGCATTTGAAGACATCAAAGTATATATGGCGAATCCTCCTGTCCTTGTTGCACCAAAATCGGGTAAACCGTTTTTTATTTACATCAAAGTGATGAACCACTCATTAAGTGCTTTACTTGCACAAGATGAAA